AGTGTTACATAAGCTAGCTTACCGAAATTGGGAATTCCTTTATAAAGCTGAGCAGACATGCTTGATAGGATCCTCAGCCTGAGAAAGTTTAACGATTAATCTATTCCCTTCTTAGATATGCCAATTTGAGCGCACGCTCCTCAGACATCACTTCGCTGTTAGGATCGATAGCCAATCAGATGTCGGTGCTGGAGACGGGTCAGCAGTGTCAGGTGCCACACGTAAGTCGAGCGAATTTGATGACAAATTCGAGTTTAACATTTCAAGGTTCCTTACAGATCCTGGAGGCGTATGCTGGCGTGATCAAAGCGATTTTGGGTAGACAACAGCGCTTCTTTGTGCTCATCATTGACGGATTGGATGAGCTGCAACGGGATGCGGCGCTCGATTGGCTGCCGCTGCAGCTGGGCAGCTGCGGCAAGCTGATATTGACGGTCAGCGAGCGGGAGGACGAGGAGGGTGAGAGCGATTCATTTGATATGCTCGCGGCGCTGGCGCAGCTGGGCATTCCACAGCGCTGTTTCCTACGTCTGCGCCAGTTCACCGAGCGCCAATGGCACGACATACTCAGCTCCGGCGGCGGCGATTTCTATGCAGCAAACGGGGCACTGAAGCTGCCCGACGATTGGAAGTCGCTGCACGGCAAGACGCCCTACCATGCCAAGTCGCTGTGGTGGCTCGCCTGGCTGGGGCATGTGGCGCAGCCAATTAGCGAGATCGGGGATATATCCAGCAAGATATTACAGGTGCTGGAGACGAAGTTCGCGGCAGATCAGGTGGAGCTGATGCTGTTGATTGTGCGACTGTCGCCGTGGGGCATACGGGAGAGCGACTGCTTGGGCGTTTTTCAAAAGATCACACAACTGGAGGCGCAGGTCGTCTTCAAGATTTGGTCCAAGTTCTGCTGGCTGATGGGACCAATGCTTTTAAATCTGAAAAATATTAGAATAGCGGACAGGAGCTTTGGACGCGCCGTCCTGTCGAGGTATGCGCAGAAGCAGTGGCTGGTACATGAAGCGCTGCGCGACTACTTCGATCGCCAGGAGAGCGAGTTCAAAGGCAGCGCCGGTGTCAAAACGTAAGACAAACTCAATAATATTCATAAGCCGTAACTAAAGTGTTTCACCCTTCAGCTACAACTATCAGAAGTACTTAAAACTGCCTTATCATCATTTCTGTGCGGTGATCGAGGATAAGCCGGCGCCGCATAAGATCGACATACTCTTCAATTGCTTCTACTTTACGGACTTGCAGTGGATAGCCAACAAGGTGCATGCCACGGGTCCGGCGCATCTGATGCATGACATTCTGCATGCCGAGTGGCTGGCGGGAAGCGAGGGCTCTACGGGCTATGTACATATAAATTTCTTGAAGCAATTTCTGGTGCGCTACCTCCACGAGCTGAGCTACGATGGTCAACAGTTCTATACGCTTATGAAGTACTATCTGAAGACGCGCTTCAAGGACGACGAGAGCCTGAAGGACGACGAGAAAATACGCTCCTGGTGGGAGTACACAAATGAGCTGGAGTTCGCCTTTCTTGAGATACTCAATGCCGATCTGGATGCCAAGGACGATGAGGCCAACGCTGCCGAATCGAATGCCACACCAGCTGTCAGGGGCTACGATGTGCTGATGAACCTGCCGCAGCCGGGCTGCTATGTGGCGTCGCTGTGCACCGAGCGCGCTGAGATTTGCATCTGGGATGTGAAGAACTGTTGTCGCATACGCGAGCTCCAGGGCATTCAGCAGCCCACAGCCATGTGTCCAGTGGGCAATTACGAGGCGGCTGTGCTGTGTCGTCGCGAGATTCGGGTCATCAACCTGGACGAGGGCAAGTTTAAGGTATGGTTAACCATAGATTCGATATCATTATTATTAATTATTATAATCTTCGCACCATTCGCAGGTCACACTGAAGGGCGTCATGAACCAGAAGATGCCCTACTTCGGCCTGCACGATCAGAATCATTTGGTTTGTCTCTCACGCAACCGCATGTATGTGAATCTGATGAATCTGGAGTCGGGTGATTGTGTGACCACCTTCAAAGCGGGCGAGGATCGGTTCCTGAACTCGTTGCTCGTCTCGGGCGACGGACGGTGAGCAAGCCAAGAAATACTCCGACTTAGCATTCGACTCATTCAAATATTTGAATTCTGTAGAATTTTGGTTTGCGGCGATGAGACGCAGAAGCCATTCCCATTGCTCGTCTGGCATTTATCGCAGCGTAAACTGCTCTACGATCTCCGGATTCCCCATCACGATTTCGTCACATCATTATCGGCCATTACCCATGAGGGGTCCTATGTGTGCGTGGTGGCCAAGGAGCTAAACGAACCGACAACGCCAAATTTCATTGTGGTCTACGACCTGCAGAGCGGCACCTTGTTCAAGAAGTGGAAGCCCAGCTGCAACACAGTATCTCTGGCTATCTCTCAGCTGAATGCCTGCGTCATCGCTGGTCTGGAGGATGCCAAGATATTGATATGGGATCTGGTCACTGGCAACTGCAAGTGCACGCTCATTGGACACAATGCGCCCGTCACGTACTTGAAACTGGACCCACTGGGCAAAGTGCTGTTGTCCTTCGACAAGGAGGGACGCGACAGTGCAATACGCTTGTGGGAGTTGAACACAGGTGGGTGAAAGTACATCTAGCCTCTCAATGAATTCTTATGCTATTTTGTATCATCTGGCTCACAGCTAAGTCCTTGGCCGTCTATAAGCCACCCGCGAAGATCAGCACCTGCGAGATTTTGCCAAACGGTGCATATGTTGTGCTCGCCCTTGTGGATCGCAATGATCTGCTAACGCTCGCATTGAAGAACTATGGAGGCAGCTCGGCCAATGCCCTCGAGGACGACTGTGTCACCTTGTATGGCAATCCCGACAACCAGCACAAAGTTTTTAACTTAAGTAATTAAAAGTTGATACAGCTGCCTGAATCAATTAAACTTAGATATCATTATTCAAATTAAAAATACATTTATGAAAAAAAAAAAACAAACAAAAAGAAATGCAAAGAAATTATAATTCCGAATTATATAAATATCACATATAAAATCTTCTCATGCATAATTCATTAGTTGTATGTAAAATTCTTGAAAAAAAAAACTTACCAGATGTACAAAAGGCTAAAGAAATAACCAAAAAGAAATTATAAATTAAAGATTCATTAAGTCATCTAGCTTTATTGTTGTTAATTCTCATGGTTCTCCGATCAATTCTGGCGTCTCTCTCTCTCTCGGGTTTAGGTGGTGGCAAAAAGATAGAGCAAATTCTTAGCGAATTGAATGATCTCAGTGCCGCCCAGCTTGGAGGTGCCATAGATGCGATCCACAAAGGTGATGGGCACCTCGGCTATGGTGAAATTATGCTGACGAGCACGAACCAGCATTTCCATTTGGAAGACGTAGCCCTTGGAGACGCAACTGGAAATGCACTTTTCGAGCACCGGCTTCTTGTACAGCCTAAAGGAGCCCGTCAAATCACTGGCATTGGGTCGGAGCAGCACCTGAGACAGATAGTTGGCTCCACGCGAGATGAGCTTGCGCTTGAAATCCCAGCCGTAGACGCCGCCGTTGCCTGCATAACGAGTGCCGGAGACAATGTCGTAGTCACCCGACTCCTGTAGTTTTATGAACTCGGGTATGAACTTGGGCTGCAAATAAAGAGACACACACGCACATATAAGTATCACACGTCAGTGCAGGGTCATTATCTACGCTTACATGATGACTCAAATCTGCATCCAAGATAATAACAAAGTCGCCGGTCGCATGCTTTATTCCGTGTATGTAGGCGGTCCCTAGGCCCAGCTTGCCAGCGCGTGGCCGTAACACAATTATATCCTCGCCATAGATCTTCTGCAGATCCTTGGCCACATCCAACGTGCCATCTGGACTGCCATCGTCGATCACAATCACCTCGTAGTCGTAACCGCTGGAAAACCAATTTTTTTTTATCAATTCGCTTATTCGATAGCAATTCAACTTACCTAACTTTCATATATTTTACAATTAACCATATGATAATTGGTAAATTGTCCCTTTCGTTATATGTGGGCAGCAAAATGCTGTATTTATGGCCATTTGACGGCATTTTGTCTTGTTTACTCTACAAATAATTTAGCAAACATTAAGGTGGCGTTCAATTAAAGAACGAGCTGGAACTTTCACTAAACAGATCTAGCTCGATTGTTTTGCACAGAATTCCAGTGAACAGTATTGGTTAACACAATGCGAAAACAGCTGTTACTTATCGATATAGCAGCGCTATCAATGAACTGCACTAGCTGCAACTGTGCAAAGGCAGTGTAACCACAGATACGGCGGTATGCACCGCTATTTAATTTTAATTTAGTTTGTGTTAAATGCAAAGTAGATGCCGCTAAAGCTCAACCTAGCGACTTCAATTAAGTAAATGTGTGTTTAGTGTAACTGACTGCACAATGGCCAAGAAAATTCCATTTAATGTGGTCTTTGCTTCAGGTAAACAAAACGTTATGTATTCTCAAATTGTTTTTCCCTTCACAAATTATAATAATTTACTTTTATTTAATTTCGTTTCTGTTTGTTTTTACGTTTTTATTTTTAGTTACCATTAGCTCTGCGCTCGCCCAGCGCAGAGTATCGCGCGCCATTTGGCTGCACTTGAGAAATCGATAAAAAATCACACATACGCATAGTGCGACGCCAAATTAAACAACATTCAAAAGTAATTTCACGGGATAGAAAAATATTTATTTATTACAATTATACATTTATATATATTGATCTAGAGCAACCATTCCACACTATTAAAACATATTTATTTTATAAGACATACATTTTGAGATGCTCCATAAAGTAGTAACTGACTGCAATAATGCAATTGAAATCTATGATGGTCATTGTTTGCATATATCTTCATTATATTGACAGATTACTGTTTGTCATAATATGTCTGGCATGTCTGCAACGCATATCCAATTAAATATGCAGTCAAAGAATTTATTTGGCACCGAGCCAAGCGCGAAGCGCCAAGCCAATTGACAATTCAAATTGCCTTCGTTGCGCTTTAGAAAGTTTACTTTGTATTCATTTTTTATTGTACTCAATGAAAGGGGATTCTCCTTCATGTAGCCTCATAACCTTCACCAATTTGGATTCCTAGCCAACAGCCCCTTTTACGCGGACTTTTGCCTGCGGTACTTGAGCTTAGTTAGCAGCGACCCCACCGGCCCAATTATGGTCAGGAAGTAGACTAATACCGTGGTTAGCATCAGGGCAGGTATAAACTCATGATCAACGACACGTGTAAAGAACTTTGAATAGTAGCCCAGGTAAATGGCCGTCATGCCAATCGTAAAGCTGAGCAGTCCAAAGAGATTATGACGGAAACGCATTTCCGAGGGTGGAAATACTTTCAACGCAAATTTGGGCTGGAAGAAGTTAACCAGACCGCCAACAACGCTCGCAGCGCACCCAAAGGCAGCGGCCACACCTGAAAGTCAATTAAACTGATGTGTTTACTGCTTAGTGAGGTGTGAAATGTATGCGCACACGTACCGAATCTACCATGCCAAGTGTTAAAGTGCACATCCTTCTGGGAGAACTTGCCCAAGGCGCCCAGTAGCACCATCGAACCACCGACCAATTGCAGGACGCCATGCAAGCGAGATTTGTTCTTGTGCGAGAGCCAGCGGGTAATTCGGTTTACCTTATAGTGTGACATCAATGCCTGAGCAATTAGTACATGAAACTGAAAAAAAAAAAACAAAGTATTAAGGTATAAAGGTGACAAAACCAATGATAAGCAGCAACAGTGAAAATTGATGTGAAAACAATGATTATGGGGTGTTGAAATTTACAGTTATGTTATTGAAAATATTTCGACATGATAATAATGATAATGGGGATTTTAATTTAGAGTTATGTTATCAAAAGTTAGTTTCAAGATAATACTTACTCCTACGCCCGTCATAAACATGTGCATGGCCGTATCCTGAAATTCCAGACTCCTGGCGAGCGTGAAGAAAAAGGCACCCACCACAAAGATCAGCATATGGTTTATGCTGTTTAACAGGCTTTGAATTTGTAACAGCCATGGTGACGACGCAGATGACGAGCTTGTTGCTTGCTTCATCTTGAAATCAGCCGTAAAGCAGTATGATACGTTCCGCCGTGTCGCAGACTAGAAACGAGACTAAGTTAATATTCTCAATGAGCTGCGCATAGTACATATGTATAAAGAGCGGCAGAACGATGTACAGCCACGTAATCGTTGCTGTTGGTATGTGTGATAGCGTCATTCTCAGACCTCTCTGGAGAGGTTTTGTTTTGTTTTTGTTTTCGTTTAATTTATACATGGACTGACTAGTCGACAGCCGCTAACATTTGTTATGATTAGAGATGTGTCATATGCTTCACTTGAATAGTTCATTAAAATGAACCACTTAATTTAATGCAATTTGCTTCATATAAGAGATTATAAATTGTTTATCAAGTTTTAAATTACTTCATCTAAGATTTTTACAACTGTTATTCCAGTTATAATAATTACTTTAGTAAGAAACAGTTAATGGTTCGTTCATGATTGCTGAACTAACTGAACTTATGAAGCGAAATGAACTTGCATTGCCAACTCAATTTGATTCCTCACATTTCACAATATTCGTTGCTTACCAACACTGTTAATGTTAATCAATTAAGCCAGCGCTTTGTTTAATTTTTGTGGTTTTAGACGAGGACCCCGGCTTCCCGGCCAGCGAACTTAACACACATGGCCCCACGGTACACGGCTGGCGCAGTGCCGTGGACAGCAGACTCAGCACCCACGACATCATCTTGCGTTTCCACCAACCGGCTAAAATTTATCGCATCCAGCTCTTGGCCCATCAGTATTTGATACGTGAGTTTGGCTGTTTGTAGAGGAATTCTTTTACTATGTAAAATTTGTTGTTTTAGCCGAAAAAGTGGAACTATGGCTACACTACTCCCCAAAGTCTATGCCCAGCACTCCGTCCTCACAGTACTTTGATTTTCTTGGCTTTGTCGCGCTCGCCGACAATGCGAATACCAACTACAAATCACGCGAGTTGCAGAGCGTGACGGTGAATCCGAGGCGAGGAACGCACTTGAAGCTGCGTCTGATTGGCGCTCATTGCAATGAGTTGAATAGCACCCAGCAGATTGCATTGATGGCGGTCAATGTGCTCGGCGAGGATTTGGAAACGGCTGCCCTCAGTGAAGGCGACGAGCATGTGGCCAGCGAGACGGCGCCCATAGACACCGCGACGGGTGAGCTGGCACTCGCCTCCATATGCGATGATCTGCTATTTTCCATGTACGTGGAGGAGTCCATTGTCCACTATATACGCGAACTGGAGCAGCGCAAGGTTAAGGCAGTCAGCATGGAAAGATTCGAATATGCGCGCAAACTAAAACTTTGCATGACGGCACTGCGAACGGCGGGCGAGCGCTTGGGTCGCTATGCGCTGGCCAAGCGGCAGGCGGTGCAACAGGAAGATTTTAGTGCGGCCAAATTGCGCAAGGAGCAGATCGAAATGTATCGCGCTTGTGTGCTCAAGCAACTCCAAGTGGAGCAGCTGCTCGAGAACGAGGGAGCACTCAGCCAGAATGATCAGAGCTGCGAGATCTATGCGGGCGGCAAGCCTAGCCTGCCAGCTGCACCGAGTCTTCAGGATGTGGCACACGCTCTGGCCGAGGCTGTCAGCAATCCCAAGTCCAACAGTGTGCAGCTCGAAAAGTCGCCCAGCCATGAGGTGGGCACAGTTGCGCCTGTTGCTGCACTGCATCTGCATGCTAAATCCCACGACGAGCTGCCTCAGTCGCCGCGCCTGCCCATGGCATCACGACATAGCTCGCCCATGTCCAGTCGTCAAGGATCCCTAAGGAGGAGAAATAAAAGTGCACCGCGTAATTCTTACGAGGATTACGAGGAGCGAGCCATACCCACGCTTAGGCAGTAAGTTTGAGTACAAGAAACAGATCAATCTGTACCTATTGTTGTTGCTGTTGTGATTAGGGAGCAGTTTGCATGTGGCATGAGTTGAAAGCAGCACAACACAAACAAATAGTTATAGAAACGCCTCAGTAACAGTAATTGTCGTCGATGTTTATGCTGCTTTTTTCTTTTTATTTCTCCATTTCCGTAAACGTTGTCTCGTTCCTTTACCATTAACTGTTTAGCTCAAATACTAATGAATTTTTAAGGGAGTGTCAGGGCAACGCGCTGCTCGAGGCGGATCCCAATCGCAGCCGTTCCCGCCTCAATGACCGCGAGCGTCGACAAGCTGCGTTGCCCATCTTGGTATTTGGCAGCGAGTTGGTAAGACTTACCCACCGGTTTACCAACCATCAATGTCCATAGTAATCTGATGTGGTCTCTTGCAGGTTGAGCTATTCTATTCGCGACAGTTTCAGGATCGCGAGGATGGCTTAGTGCGCTTGCGCAGCTTTCTCAAGGAGCAGGAAACGGATGAGGCGGCTAGCAATGAGCATGCAGCCAGTCCCAACAAAGTGGCACGCAGCGCCGCTTTGCTGCTGCACCGTGCCGTCCGAGATGCAGTCTATTCAGTGTTTAATCAGGCGACAGAAACGGTGCGGGTGCTGTTCCTTGAATATGTGCCCGGTCGCGTGTCGCCCAATGAGGTGGCTCGATGCGTCGATCGTTTGCTGCCCGAGCTGTTGGCCAAGTCGGGTGATCCCTCGGCGCGTTTGCATACGCTGGCGCAGCACACTATACTCAGTATCGCCGCATGTCCACAGGTGGCCGAGCAGCACCTGGTCGCACCTGCGCTGTCGCGAAGCGTTGGCTCTGGCACGCATCAGCGTCTAGCCATGAGCCGGCTGCAAATGCTCGAGCAATTGGTGCACACACAGGGCAGTAGCACTGACAAGCATAGCGGATTGACATGCCGGGCTCTGTCCGACTGCGGATGCTCGGGCATACATCATCCAGCGGAGCCAGTACGCAAGGTGGCTGAGCGTATACTGCTACTCGTCTATAAGGTGAATCCGCGGCTGGTACGCAAGCAGTTGCCACCAGACGATGACATCACGCGTCGCAATTTGCTCTACCGCCAGCTTTTTACGGAGTTTGACAAGCTGGATCTAGAGCGCAAGCAAGAGCTGCTAGAAGTGCACAATTCAGGCAATGATGCGGAATTAATGCAGCCCACAACCAGCACAGATGCGTCGCGGCTGCTGAAGAGCAAGAGCGGAATGGCATTGGGTACGTCTGTGGTGGGCAATGGCTACGTCAGCTGCAATGGCAAGCAACAGTACAACGAGCAACTGAAGCGCTCCATGCAGTCGGCCTCGAACTCACGCAAGGGATCCGCAACCAACTCGGAGTCCACTGAAGAAACAACACCAAAAATGTGAGCACCGTACAGTGTAATTAGAAATCCAGTACTCAAGCTGTATTCTTCGTTACAGCAATTGCATGTTTTGTGGTTGGAGCTGCCCTGGGAGCGACGCTAGCCAACTGGATCGCCACTATTGGAAGACCTGTCCCTTTCTCACCAAGTGCCCACAATGTAGTCAGGTGCTGGAGGTAGCTGCGCTCAACTACCATTTAATTAGTAAGTATTCCCAGTTATTCTTACTTGAATAATAATGGCAGATGTATTATGATATTCCTTGAATTACAGACGAATGCGAAGCCAAGGAGAGCTATGTGGTGTGCACCCGCTGCACGGAGTCGGTGCATAAACAGCTATATGAGCTGCATCAAATGGAGGACTTTTGCCGGGGTATTCTACAATCTTTCAATTCTCATGTAGTTCACACTTAATATGCATATATTTATTTTATTTCAGAGCTTAAAACTGGCGCTGCTCGCTGCCCACTTTGTCATGATGATGTGCATCTGCCATTGGACGGAGGCTGGAAATTGCATCTATTAAGCGCTGGCGGCTGTCCAGGCAATATACGTAAACGGAATTTAAAGAAATCAAACTAAACAATACCTTGTGACGACAAAAGTCATTGATAACTGAACTATCTGTCTATTATAAGGTAGATCATTTATGACAAGCCAACTATTACGGCCATTAGCGTAATTTAAAGTAATTTTTGTTACACACAGATTCAATTTAGCACATTTTGTTACAGGACTTGGTGTTAAGTTCAACATTATTTATGCTTTATACATTTTGTTAAACTTTATACGAGTATATATGTTTTCTACGCAATGTGATTTGTTAACTTATACATAAACACGAATTTCTAAACGTCCCACAATAATAAAGCCAATCAACTGAAGTTTCGAATGTGACTTTTTATTTAGGAAATCCGATAAAATCGATATGCTGAAAGTATATTGGTAATACGGTCTTTATTCGAGTTGGCAGCACTTTTGTGATAGTCATGAATACTTATTTTAAATGGGGTACCTTATTTTAATATTCATAAGTAAAATATACATAAATAAACGATTTTTTAATGAATGAGCTCAAAATAAAAAAATTTAGTTCTAGCAATGTGGATGAAAATTTAAATTTGAATTTAAAAATGCCGCCAATAATCGATAAATGTGAGAACGTTTTGTGGTAAACAATATGGACAATCGACCCGGTCCTTGATTGAGCTGGCAGCACTGTTGCTGCAGCATTAAGTGCCAGTCTTTCATGAAGCAATTAATTGGCACTTAACACTTGCGAATGGTACAATGGTGTTAGATTTAAGTAAATAGTATTTGATAAATATAAGTGTATTATAAATAATAGTTGTAAATATACCATCTCTGAGGTGAATGGGTCAAAGTGTGTGTTGCAAAACAACCCCCTGACCAGCTGAGAGTAATGCGTGTGTGTGTAAGCAAGTGTGCGTCAGTAATTTAGTGTATATAAATGCATGTGTGTGAGTGCACGCGCGCGCGCCTCTGTGTGTGTAAAGCGTGAAAAAACAGCCGGCAAAATTAGTTTTTGTTTTTGCATGTGAAATTAATTGACCAGTTGCCGTGCTTCGTTCCATACATATGTGTTGTGACCAGTAAAAGTCACTCTATCGCGCAAACCAGTTAACGATGCGCTGAACATTGACAATTAACGTAAAAGCCACTGCCGCCTTTCAGTCAATTGCCACAACAACAATTAGAACAGTGGCGCCGTTGCTGCCGTGTGAACCATATTCATCTATAAGAGAGGATCTCTCGCGACAATAACAGCCAACGGAGCACGTGCGTTACGCCTGGAATATACATATATACATATACATACATATATAAATATATAAAGATGCAGCGCTTGTGGCGATTGCTGCATTGGCGGTACCTGACACGGGAGCAAATCAATGGCTTTGACAATTACAAGGTATGATGCAGGGCAGGGGGTACGGCGTCGCATCGGTCCGTTCATAAATCTAATGTATTTTCCTTTATATGCAGTACAGCGCCATAGACACGTCGCCGCTCAGCCAATATGTAATGCATCCATTTTGGAATTGGCTGGTCAAGGTGAGTGCATACGGCATATTCATAACAACAGCAGAAACAACAACAATTGGCAAACCAAAAAATCAATAATTTTAACAACTTACGTGTTCATTATTCATTCAGTTCTTCCCGCGCTGGTTTGCGCCCAATCTGATGACCTTTCTGGGCTTCCTGTTCAGCGTGATGAATCTGGTGCTGCTCTCCTACTATGATTGGAACTTCGATGCCAGTTCGGGAGAGGAGGGCACCACACCGATACCCAAATGGGTGTGGTTAAGCGCAGCTATAAACATATTCCTGGCGTACACGCTGGATGGCATTGATGGCAAACAGGCGCGTCGCATTGGCCTGTCCGGGCCACTGGGCGAACTGTTTGATCATGGCCTGGACTCGTATACGGCGATGATCATTCCCACATGCCTGTACAGTATCTTTGGACGCAGTCGGCTCTATTCGGTGCGGCCGATGCGAATGTATTACGTTTGCCTAACGGTCTATTTCAATTTCTTCGTGTCGCACTGGGAGAAATACAATACGGGCGTATTGTATCTGCCGTGGGGCTACGATGTCAGCATGTGGGGCAGCACTGCCATGTATTTGTTCACGTGGTGGGCGGGCTTCGAGCGATGGAAATTCGCTCTGCCATTGGGCCCGCTCGGTAGCCTGCCTATGGGCAATGTTATGGAAGCGGTGCTACATGTCAGCGCCATGGCGAATCTACCTCTAGTAGTTATCAATGTCTACAAGTAAGGGCCACTCTCTCTCTCTCTCTCTCGCTGGGTTGTCATGCATTTCAATTAACATTCAATATTGCCTTTTACAGCTCATATGTCAAGCGCACCGGCCGGATGCTGTCGGTTTGGGAGGCAGTGCGTCCGATGTGGCCATTCGTGACCTACTTTGTGCTGTTGTTGCTCTGGCCATTTTTATCGCCCAACGATATTATGGAAAGGGATCCGCGCGCCATGTTCATGCTAAGTGGCACAATCTTCTCCAACGTCAGCGTAAGTTCCTTATCTTCCCTTATCTCTGCAGACTATTGAGAAAGCGTTACACGCTTACATTTGGCCTGAAGGCTTCAATTTATTTAGTTTTGTATTTTATTGTTTGTTGTTAACGATGGCTATTATCATACTCGAGCCCTCGAACACTTGTTGGGTCATTAGCAAACTAATTGTCTGCCCGCCCAGCCCTCTCCTCCAAGCAAGCCTCAAATGTCGCAGCAAGTGACTCAGTTTAGATATGGAGTGGCGTGGTTTTATATTCGTCACCTTAAGGGGTTTCTTGCCTAATACCTAATAAAAGCGACTCAATATCGCTTATAGCTAAGATAACAAAGCAATGAGTGCTTAATAATAATAATAATAATATTAATATACTAAATATTTGTTTGTCTTGCGACTATAACCTTTCATATTTGTAGTTCTATATTGATTGATTGGAATATAGGCTAGCTACAGCAAGCACATATAGCTTTGATCAATGTTTGGTCTAGACACTTATCGGAGCTGCTATAAAACTAAGTTCTTACAAGTGAAAATGGAAATTCAAATAATTCATGTGTGCGACGTCCGATTAAAATTGGTTCGTATACTCACTTCGGAGGGTTGTTAAAATATACGTGTAACTGTCTTGGAACTTCTCCACTCCAATTATAGTTATAGTCATTGATTAGCGATGAAAAATTATTAGATATTCTTAATCCAATCCGAACGGAATTTATTTATTTAATCTTTCTTTTATCTTTTAAAAAATCTTCACTTAAGTTGATATAATCTAAAGTCTTAAATATTATGCTCATTACGTACTTCCTTTCAATAAAAATTTCATTGCAATGAGATATTCTTTAGAAATGTCTAACAGAATATCAAAAGTCTAAATGAGCAGAGATTATGTGTTATAATCCTAGAAGTATAACACCTATAAAAGGTTAGATAGATATATTAAGCGCATTTGAAAACATTTTGATTTCTCTATGCCTAGCATTAGATTTGGCAAGGATTTCGAAAATACGACACACTCGAAGCAATATCCAAACGTCAGCTTATTTAATCTAAAATTCTCAGCTTTCATAACAATAACAACACTCAGAGAAAAAACACTTGAGAGAGAACATTTTATCGACATGCCGCCCTTTTGCTGTGGCGGCCGGCGCTGTGCCAAAGACTTGGAGAAGACCAACGCTGAAGGTGACGATGCCACCGAGGAGCAGCAGGCGAAGGCGTCGCCGATAACAGTGACCGAGGCGGAGAAGCCGCTGACCCTCAAGTTCTATGCCCGCCACGATTGGCCCTATTACCGCTGCACCGATGAGGAGATTAAGCGCATGCGCGAAAAGTTCGATAAGAAGGGTCCCGAGATAAATGTACCGGACGCAGAGGGCAATTTCAAGAAGTATGAGCCGAAGCACTCGACACCGCAACCAGTGACAGAGAATCAAATATACGGCTGGTACCACACTCGCGCCTTTCCGTACAAGGCCAAGGATCGCGGTGTCTTTGTATTTCCACGCGAAGCAGATCCATTGATAAAGCTGATTCTGGAAACCAATTTGATGGCTAAGCAAAAGTCGCAGACATGAGTAGATTGATTATCTGCATTAAATTATGACCATGGCTAATATAATGCATATAGACATATCTATCTGAAGAACATCTCGTTGTTATTGAACTTCAATTATTGGATTATCCCAGATAGAATTAAACGAACAAAAATGCACCATTTCTGTCAACTTTCATTTTGTAGTCCATTCGTTTGTGCGACTCGAAATAATGAATTTTTACTTAGAGCAACATATGTATTTATATTAGTATATCATTCAAGAGCTGCTGCACATAAAAAAAAGTTTCTATATAATTGGAATAGATCTTAACTATACACCCTCTTCAGCAGATTTCAATGGGTATGCAAAGTTTGACATTCGAGTAGTAGTAGTCCGATACGATGAAATTCCGTTCTCAGTCAATGAACAACTTTCAACAAATACACTACACTACACACATAATTTTAGATTCTAAATTTTGCCTTTATTATTCGCTTCGATTGAAGATTTTGATAGGCTTTGAGGTGGGCAAGAAGTGCTAGAAGATGCCAAGACATCACTATCGTCGTCGGCGCCGCAACCGCGACTTGCACTTCAACATCGACCGGGGGTTACTGAAGACCCAGATATTGGACGCTGAGCGTCCGTTGACCACCAAGTTCTATGCGCGGCACGATCACTCGTATTACCACTGCGACGATGAGACGCTTGAGAAGATGCGCGAGAAATACCATAGGAAGCTGCTGCCCGAAATGAATGCGAAAGTGAATGGGAATGTGGTGGCTACGCCGTCCAGTCAGTCAGCCAGTCAGCCTGTGCCACGGCATGTCTCAACGCAACCAATGACGGAGAATCAAATGTATGGCTGGTATCAGCATCGGGCCTTCGACTTCTTGGTAAAGGATCGGGGCGTCTTTGAATTTCCCCGCGAGGGGGATCCGATGATTAGGATGCTTAAGAATTCGCGTTAAGGGCGCCAGAGAGCTGTTGCTGGATGGTCGGGATGGTCCTTTCCCAGTAACAATTTTAGTTGAATTTTCGATTGATTCCACAATTAACATTATTTGTTCCAATGTGCCTCGCATTGTTGAGCCAAAATAAATCTTAGTGCTACAATGGACTCCGCAATTCATAGCCAATGGCTTTTCATTTGATGTCCCTTGCAGTGCCGTCTGATTGTGTCGCAGATGTCAGTGACGCGGTGCGAGGCCTGGCACTGGCAGGCGCCCATGTTCGTGATGTCCTTGCTGATGAGCCTGTGGCTGCCGGTCCTGGAACGGCCGTTGCTCTACATCCTGCTGATCGTGACCACGTTGACCCACTGGCATTACGGCGCCAGCGTCGTCAATCAGATGTGCGAGCACTTCAATCGGGTTTGCTTTACAGTGCATAAGCGAGTGACGCATCTGGATGTGAATCAGCAGCAGGAGCAGAAGACGCTGCAGGAGCAGCCTGAGGAGCAGCCGAGGACAGTGAAACAGGATTAGGCTGAACTGGATGTTGGTGAACTGTTTAACGTGTTCGAATTGCATGTCTCTGATGTGCATCGATCAGCTTGGAGGCTTTTATTTCATGACAAATCACGGGAGATTATACAGATATATTATACGTTTGTTCTACTTAGCGCTTTTTGAACAAAAAAAAAAAAAAAAAAAATTCTCAGGTAACAGAAAACACGAAGAGTTTGCTTGAGTTGCACTCAATTATCAATTACTATCGCTAACTGAAGTATTCTTAAATTCGATTGTATTATTCGTTCTAGTATCTATTTATCAGAGAGATCTCATCTCTGGCAATTTAAATATCAATCCATGACAAGTCTTCGCCAAGTATTCAATTCGATTATCCCCATCTGCAGTTTAGTTTTCAATCCTATTTTACATCACAGACATTTTGGGGGAAAACACGAAACTGAAACGACGCTCGCTTCCTATATCATATAATAATTGTTCATGTTCTTAATCGTATATTGTCTACTTCAATTTAAATAGGTGTATATGTATATGTGGATCTAATGGCATACCTTACATGTGCTTAATTTATTTTGTATTATTTTTCAATTGTTTTAGTTCAAAGTGTTTAGATTGTGCGAAAGGGCCAATTGAAATTTTAATTCATGCAATTCTTAGCTAAGATATAACCGCCAAGACCTCTAATTATTTAAATGCATACTATGTAATTATTATTTTAAAGTAAAACACACACACACACGCATATGTAAACTTCAAACTATGAATGCTTAATTATATTATACACGCAAATATATTTAACTGTAAATGTCGCTTCCCTATCCTCGAAAACTGTGCGAACAGCCAACAACAAAGACAACAACCACTTAAGAAATAAATTTATATTTTAGAAAACGCAAAAATACAATTGAAGTGCTAAGTGTTTCAGCTGAGCTCTGAGAGTGAGCTCCTAATCTCGATTATAGATCGGACAGAAAACATTTAGCAGCATCCGAAAGCAAATTAGTTTATACGCAAAAAAAGG